GGATCGCCGCTTCGGGAGAACTGTGAGCGGGCTCCGCAGCTAACTCCACCCTGAAGGCTGAGCCGCTCAAATGCAGAGCCAGGTTGATATAGTCCTCCAGCGACTCCTCGGGGACCCAGTATGGCATCAGGGACTTGAAGGGCTCGGCTAGGCCTCCCCAGAAAAAGACCATGAGGCAGGTTTTCTCCGTGGCTGACTGGCGAGCCACTCCCACGAAGTCCCTGGAGTAATCCTCAATGCTCCGGTCTCCCTGGCGGACGTTAAGAAACTTCCCTGCTGGACCCATGTCTGCTGGTTGTATTCTGTCACGGCTCGGTACTGAAAACACACCGTGTAAACAGGGTCTGGGTCCAAATGCAGGTGAAAACTTCTTTATTTAAACAGAAAGGCCAACAAGGCAAAACAAAAACAGGTCTAGAGACGACGAACACCATTACATTATCCATACAACCAGGCCGAGTGGTGAGTGAGAGGTGAAGATATGGTCAGTGACAACGGGGCACAGCTGAGGGTGAGTGTGATGAGTGAGTGACTGAACAGGTGTGTGGAGTTTGGGGAATTTAGTGTAATGAGTGAACAGGTGTATGGTGTCAAGGTAACGGAGTCCGGGAGAATGGGAAGTGGCGACCTCTGGTGGTGAGAGGGAGAACACCAGACGCCAGACCCTGACACCTAGCACCCCGTTTAACCCTGGGTACAGAGGGAAATGGGTTTGTTGCGAACACTGGGCCCGTTCAAGCACCCAAGCAACCAACCGCTGTTATAATGGGAAAAATAAAACACAAACATTTTCAAAAAGAGAGCTAAATTCCTCTTCCATTTCTCACAAATATTCTGCCTCCGTGCGGCCAGTCACAGTTAATCCAACTCCTCGCCACGCGGGCCGAGGCCTGGCAGGACATCCCAGGAGTGTCGAGATGGGTCATGGGGATAATAAAACGAGGGTATTCACTCCAATTCGCTCGAAGACCCCCGCGCTTCAGCGGCGTGGTCCCCGCCTTAGTGCAAAGCAGGGATGCTCACGTCCTGCGCTCAGAGGTGATGAATCTGCTGGCAAAAGGAGCTGTAGAAACGGTTCCTCCAGACGTGTTCTGCCCCCGTTCGGCCAGTCACCCGAGTTAATTCAACCCCTCGTCACGCAGGCCATCCCCGGAGTGTTGAGATGGGTCATGGGGATAATAAAACGAGGGTATTCACTCCAATTCGCTCGAAGACCCCCGCGCTTCAGCGGCGTGGTCCCCGCCTTAGTGCAAAGCAGGGATGCTCACGTCCTGCGCTCAGAGGTGATGAATCTGCTGGCAAAAGGAGCTGTAGAAACGGTTCCTCCAGCTCAGAGCGAGTCAGGCTTTTACAGCCGTTACTTCCTCGTCCCCAAAAAGGATGGTGGCCTCCGGCCAATCCTCGATCTCAGAGACAGATGGGAATCCACATTCTCAACTACCTCGACGACTGGCTCGTGCTGGCCCAGTCGGAGGCAGAATTAATATCACACAGGACCCTCCTCCTCAGCCACCTAGAGCACCTGGGTCAATTTTGCCAAGAGCACGTTATTCCCCAGCCAGCGAATATTGTTCCTGGGAACAATTTTCTACTCAGCTCAAATGAGAGCTGTAGTCGCGCTGGAACGGGCTCTGGCCATACGGAGACTGGCGGCCTCCTTCGAGATCAGTGCCACTCGCCCTCTCAAAACATTTCAGAGGATGCTGGGCCTCATGGCCGCAGCATTGCCAGCGCTACAGCTGGGTCTGCTTCGTATGCGTTCCCTACAGCGCTGGCTGAAACAGCGGGTTCCATCCCATGCGTGGCGTCACGGACACCTACATATCAGGGTGTCCTTGGAAGAACTCTCGCTGGATGGAACAGGGCATGGCCATGGGAATGGTTTGCAGGAGAAAAGTTGTCACGGCAGATGCCTCCAATGCAGGTTGGGGGGCGCTGTGCGAGGGCATACCGACTTTCTAGCAGTGTGTCGAGCCTGTCAGTTCTTCCTGCCAGTCCTAAAGGGACACTATGTGCTAATCCGATCGGACAACATGTCGGTGGTGTCCTACATAAATCGCCAAGGAGGCCTCTCCTCGAAGCGCCTCTTCATTCTGGTAGAGCGGCTTCTGGAATGGGCTCAACTCAACCTGCGCTCGCTGAGAGCGGCGCGTGCACCGGGCAAATTGAATCAAGGAGCGAACATGTTATCAAGAAGCAATGTCCCCTCAGAGGAGTGGACGCTCCATCCGCAGATGATTCAGAGAATCTGGGAGATCTTCGGTGAGGCCGAGGTAGACCTCTTCGCCTCAGAAGACAAACACAAGGTTCTCCTGGTGGCCCCTCTCTGGAAGAACCAACTGTGGCTATCAGAGTTGACCCAGCTGTTGGTAGCAGTTGGTAGATCTCCTCTCTCAAGCGGACGGGACAATATGGCACCCTCAGCCCGAAATGTGGGCCCTACACCTCTGGTCACTTGACGGGAGCCTTCAAGCCTCCCAGAGCGAGTTTTAAACATGATTTCGGAGGCTAGAGCCCCGTCTACGAGACGCCTCTACGCCCTTAAGTGGTCTATTTTCTCCGCTTGGTGCCTAAACCGCGGCGAAGACCCTTCTACCTCCGATCTGTCAGTGGTGTTGTCATTCCTGCAAGAGCTGCTGGATAAAAGACGCTCCCCATCCACTCTTAAGGTTTATGTAGTGGCTATAGCGGCCTCTCATGCCCCTATTGCGGGCCAATCGGTGGGCAGGAACAGCGCGGTTGTCCGCTTCTTGAGGGGCGCCAGGAGACTGAATCCGCCTCGCCCCCTCACTGTCCCTTCATGGGATCTGCCCACTGTGCTGAGGGCCCCGAAGGGCCCCACTTTTGAGCCGCTACAGTCTAACCTTCGGTCATTGTCGCTGAAGACTGCTCTGCTTCTGGCACTAGCATCAGTAAAGCGAATAGGAGACCTGGAGGCGCTTTCCATTAGCCCTGCCTGCCTGGAATTCGGGCCTAACGACTCTAAGGTCGTCCTGAAACCAAGGCATGGTTACGTACCCAAGGTGCTCTCCACTCCATTCAGTACACAGGTCATTGCGCTCTCTGCGCTTCCTCCCTCTGAAGAGGACAGATAGTTATCCCTGCTCTGCCGCGTCAGAGCTCTAAGAATATACATTGAGCGTTCCGCCCCCTTCAGACGGTCGGAAAAACTCTTTGTTAGCTTCGGTAACTGCACCAAAGGGCATCCGGTCACGAAGCAAAGACTCTCTAGATGGATAGTAGATGCTATCACGCTAGCGTACTCTTCCTTGGGCTGGGCCTCGCCGTCCACATTTGCTAAGTTTTATAACCTGGAAATCCCGGCCTTGTGGGCACTTAAGTCTGCCGCGTCCCGTCCAGATGCCACACGTGGAGGTTCCAGAGGTCTGAACGCAGGTGCCATATGGTGCCCAGCCCCTGAGAAAGGAGGTCCTTCCTCAGAGGGATGCGCCAGGGAGGGGCTGTCACGAGGAGCATGAGTTCCGAAAACCAGGTCCGGGTGGGCCAGTAAGGCGCAACCAACAGGACCTGTTCCTCTTCCTCCCTGACCTTGCACAGTG